CCGTCGCGGCGCCCCCGGGTGGCCTTCGCGCTGCCCCCCCCTTCGTCGCCCGTCGCGGCGTCGTCGTGGAGCGCGCGACCCGCCCCTGCAGCAGCCCGCGGCGTCGCCCCTGCGTTTCGCGACGCCCCTGCGGGACCCGCGCGGCGTCGCCCTGCTCGTCGCGACGCCCCTGCGGGACCCGCGCGGCGTCGCCCTGCTCGTCGCGACGCCCCTGCGGGACCTGCGGGGCGTCGCCCCTGCACGTCGCGGCGCCCCCTGGGCGCCGTCCCTGCTCGTCGCGGCGCCTTCAGGGGGCCCGCCCACTGCTCCCACCATTGCCCGTCGCTCGCGACGCTGCCCCTGCAGCAGCTCGCGACGCCGCCCCTGCAGCGACGCGCGAGCCGCCCCTGCGCCAGCGACGCCGCCACTGCAGCAGCAGCCCCTGGAGCCGCCCGCAACTGCAGCAGCAGCCCCTGGAGCCGCCCGCAACTGCAGCAGCAGCCCCTGGAGGCACCCGCCACTGCAGCAGCAGCCCCTGGAGCCGCCCGCCACTGCAGCAGCAGCCTCTGGAGCAGCCACCCTTGCAGCAGCCGTTCCGGGCCCCTGGAGCAGCCGCCACTGCAGCAGCCGCCCCTGGCCCCTGGAGCAGCCGCCCCTGGAGCTGTCCGCCACTGCAGCAGCCGCCCCTGGAGTCGCCCGCCACTGCAGCAGCCGCCCCTGGAGCCGCCCGCCACTGCAGCAGCCGCCCCTGGAGTCGCCCGCCACTGCAGCAGCCGCCCCTGGAGCAGCCGCCCCTGCAGCAGCCGCCCCTGGAGCCGCCCGCCACTGCAGCAGCCGCCCCTGGAGTCGCCCGCCACTGCAGCAGCCGCCCCTGGAGCAGCCGCCCCTGCAGCAGCCGCCCCTGGAGCCGCCTGCCACTGCAGCAGCCGCCCCTGGAGTCGCCCGCCACTGCAGCAGCCGCCCCTGGAGCCGCCCGCCACTGCAGCAGCCGCCCCTGGAGTCGCCCGCCACTGCAGCAGCCGCCCCTGGAGCCGCCCGCCACTGCAGCAGCCGCCCCTGGCACCTGGAGCAGCCGCCCCTGCAGCAGCCGCCCCTGGCCCCTGGAGCAGCCGCCTCTGGACCTCTGCAGCAGCTGCCCGCGCCCTCGTGCGCTCTACTACTACCCGCGCCCTCGTGCGCTCTACTACTACCCGCGCCCTCGTGCGCTCTGCTGCTGCCCGCGCCCTCGTGCGCCCTGCTGCTGCCCGCGCCCTCGTGCGCTCTACTACTACCCGCGCCCTCGTGCGCTCTGCTGCTGCCCGCGCCCTCGTGCGCCCTGCTGCTGCCCGCGCCCTCGTGCGCTCTACTACTACCCGCGCCCTCGTGCGCTCTACTACTACCCGCGCCCTCGTGCGCTCTGCTGCTGCCCGCGCCCTCGTGCGCCCTGCTGCTGCCCGCGCCCTCGTGCGCTCTACTACTACCCGCGCCCTCGTGCGCTCTGCTGCTGCCCGCGCCCTCGTGCGCCCTGCTGCTGCCCGCGCCCTCGTGCGCTCTACTACTACCCGCGCCCTCGTGCGCTCTACTACTACCCGCGCCCTCGTGCGCCCTGCTACTGCCCGCGCCCCTGTGCGCTCTGTTCTGTTCTGCCGCCCCCCCCCCCCCCCCCCCCCCGTCCCTAGGACAGGAGTGTGGGGGTGACAGGTATGGGGGTGCTCCGTGTGCGTCGTCCCTTCCTCCTCCTTCGTCTCCCACTGCTGCAGCTGCCGCTCAGGGGGGTGGAGGTGTGGGAGCCGAAGGGAGTGGCGCTAGGGGGGTGATGTGGGAGTGGAGCTAGAGGTGAAACAGGGGATGTGTGTAGGGGGGTGTGGGACAGTTGGAGGAGGCTGCAGCACCTGTAGTCCGGGGCGCACTGTCCTGGTAGCTCAGAGAGCCTGCTGCGCCTGTGTGTCTGCAGCTTCAGTCGTCGTCTCCAATCTTCTCTCCCTTCACAGTTCCTCCTCCTCCTCACTTGCCCTCTGTGATAGCCTCTAACTTTGCTGATAATTATGAACTTTTGCTGTGACTGCTGATTGTGCTGATTATACCCCACTTTGGCTATGGGGGTGTGTCAGATTATGTTATTTGTCTAGCATGCAGTAGGGTGCTCAATAGTGAGTACAACCCCTTTAGGGTTTCCTATTTGTACCAACCTGCTTGCTAGTTCAACCATTCTCTATCATTCCTCTTCTCCAATTCTCCTTCGTATACCCCAAACCCTAGCTCTAGGGCACAACCTACCTACTCTATGTGTGGGCCTAGGCTACTAAGCCTAGGCCCCACTCTTAGTGTTCCTGACAAGGTCTTGTGCCCACTTGGCCTCACTTGCTCACTTCTTGACCTTGCTTGTACTGTGTTTTCTATATACCTGCTCTTGCTTGTTTGCCTTTATATATTATCCTGCATGTGAACTGGCCTTGTGGCCTTGACCTTGTGCTCAGATTTTGTGGTGACGTTGTGATCCACTCTGAGCTTGCTTTGCTTGACTGGTCTTGTGGCCTTTAGGTCTTCCCCACTTTGCCTATGGGGGTGTGTCAAACTTATATAACATTGATTATTTAGGCTGTAGTGGGTTAGACTCTAGAGAGTATAGGTTTTCTACTTGTATCTCTCTTTCTCCTAGTCAAACCATCCTCTCGATCTTCACAACATTGTATGTTTTATGTCGTTTTTACGCGTTACAAAAGGGTTGAGACACAAGGGTCTCCACAGGAATGTACCCTTAGAGGGTACAAATATTAGGGTTTGCTATATGTACCCCAACCCACATCAATGAACACACAATTCAGTTTCTAACACCTGGTCCTTGCTTCTCTGAAATTTGACGAATCAATCCACGCCCCCCCGCCCGTCCCATTCCCCGTTTGGCAGGTTGGCGTAGGAGGTGGGCACAGTGTCCGCCCACTCGCAGGCACGGCAGCTGCTGGCACCTGCTGACAGCAGCGATGGTGGTGCTGATGCTCACAACAATGCGTCTGAAGCCCATGATTGTCAGAATCCCAGCCACTAACCACTGGGATAAAAGGGCTTGTTTGTATAGCGGGTGACTGCGCCCATTACCCTCCAGGCCGCCGTGCCTGTACCGTCATACCCCGGATAGAAGCGCCCCTGGGGTTGTAATAAAACACTGTTTTTTAGGGGGTGCGCTTATAATTGAGGAAATTTATAAGCGCCGGCGTTTATATAACGGCAAAATGAAATTAAGTTTTTTTTTAGCACCAAACTGTAGATATCGTTTTGCCAATTGTAATCGAGTCGAAAATATATGGGGTCGCGAATTTGACTCTCGAGCAACTTGGCAGGGATTGATTCCCTGCCAACACATGCTGACTAAGCGACAGCGCGCGCTGACTAGACGCGCAGCAAGCGTGATGTGAGTGGGAAAGTGGAACTGTACTTCGCTTCCCTGGTAAGGTGAAATTCGTTTCTGTGTCTCGTTCTGATTTTCAGATAATATTCGACATGCGCTTATAATAAATCATAAATTTTTAGGGGGTGCGCTTATAATCGAGGACCGGATATAAGCGCCCTCATCCTTTTATAAGCGCCGGCGCTTATCCGAGGCCTGCGCTTCTATCCGGGGTATGACGATAACCCTTCCCTAGGATCAATCGGGGATCACCAGTGGACCTCTGACACCCCCCCGCACTGGGATGCCCGAAGTGCACACACCGAGATTCGAACCCGAGACCTTCGCTCTGATACCATGTCAGAATCTCAGTCACTAACCACTGGGATAAAATGGCTTGTTTGTATAGCGGGTGAGTGCGCCCATAACCCCCCAGGCCGCCGTGCCTGTAACCCTTCCCTAGGATCAATCGGGGATCACCAGTGGACCTCTGACAATGATGCCCAGGAGGATGCAAGCGGGTCAAGAGGAGCACACGGCAAGAGGCACAAGAAGCATCAGGGCAGCAAGAGAAACTTCAAGGGAAGACGCTGACCCTCTCTTTCCACTCGCCCTGTTACATGCTTCATGTTGCTAAGGCCGTTCATGCGTTGCCATAGTGGTGCTCTCTGCAGTAGTGATGCAAAGAATACTAAGGGCACTTGCAATGGCGAGGTTTCATTTTAATGCAGCTGCAAGTGCAAACACGTACTTTGGTTTCCAACTTGCCAGACAACGGAAGCCCAGATATACACCCAGGCCAAAAATGGCCAACTACCGTCATGCCCCAGATATACACCCAGGCCTCGGATACACCCATGCGCTTATAATCGTACTGGTGCGCTTATAGGCAGGGGCCGATTCTATGCCCACCCTAATTTTGGGTCATCTTCGTATAAGCGCACCTAACGATTTTTGTTTCTGAAATCTGTGTTTTTCTAGTGAATTCGCCACTAACGCGTCAGGAGCAATCGTCGCTGACATGCCTGGCGAGATATTCTTTCTGGCCCACCTGGCGAAATTGCCACAGGCGCGCACGTGTTCGCAGCCGTGATGGCAGTGATTGTTGCCAGGGTGGCACATTCTCGGTAAATTGTGTAGCAACCACCTTTTTGGTAGACTCGATGAAACCGCATGGCTGAGATCTACATTTTTATGTATCAAAATCATAATTCTCTCAGTGCCATTTATTTAGTCCATGGGGTTATAAATTTTTTCACATTATAAGCCCACCCACATTTTTCCAGGTTTTTTTATACCCCCATAAGAGGGTATATCCGGGGCATGACGGTAGTTTCCAGTTGCAGGCATGGCATAGCTGGTTGGAGAACTGTGCACCGGTGATGGGAATCTGGGAAGTCCTCGCATAGCCTAGTGGATGAGCCATTTTCCAATGGAGCAAGTTGTGATAGGAGCTGCTGGCAGTGAGAATCCTGGCTGTGTGCGTGGTGTGGTGTGCCAAGAGGGACCACTGCAGTGGGTGACTGGTGACAGCAGCACACAGGAGCATAAGGTGATGCCTCATGAGTCGTGAGCACATGAGCGTCCGCACAGCGCTTCATGTGCCTTGGGTTGTGCCGTGGCGTGGCCCCATATGGCCTGTACAGCAGCAATGGAATCACATGATTTCCAGCTCTGTGGTGGGGTAGCCTGCCTGGGCGCGGTAGTCTAGGAAGAGCCGCTCCAATGCCCTCACGTACTCCGCATGCACTGCTGCCACCTGCACAGTGGCAGTGGCGTGGCATGGAATGGGATGGCATGGTATTGTGTGGGATGGGAGGATACAGAGAGACAAGGACACGAGCGGACATGAAGGCCGCCACGTGCTCCGCATGCACTGCTGCCATTTGCATGGGGGGATGGCGTGGCATGGGATTGGAGGCAAGGGGGGAAGTGGGATTAGCTGGCATGGCATGAGATGGCATGGCATGAGGGCCATGGGATGACATGGCATGGCATGGATGCGTGAATGACAGTGGCATGTCACAGAGGATTGAGAAGAAGGGAAATGCATGCACCCATGCAGACTTCACCATTTTCATACAGCAGTGCCTCACATGCCGAAACTCACCCTTTCTTTTGAGGGGTTGGGGTCAGGGTCACCCTGTCCGATGGGTGTGCCGATGACGATGGTGAGGGGGGTGCGGAAGGGGATGGGCAACCCCCACACGCCCCAGAAGAGAATCGGCGCAAACCTTAATCTCCGAGCCACCCACCGGTACCACTCCCCCTCTGGCCTCCACCAGCGGTATGCACTAGTCTGAGGGATGGGGGGAACGGGGGTGTGGGGGCGAGGAGAGGCGGGAGGGAGAGAAGGGGAAGGCGGGGGTGAGATGGGAGGAAGAGGAGGCATGAGGGGCTGGAGGAGTAGCGACGGTGCCAGAAGAGGGGCTGCCAGCGTGGTGCCATGGCTCCCCTCCCCTCCACCCACTGAGTGCTCTGGTGTGAGGGGAGGGCGAGGAGAGGGACGGGAGAGGGGGGAAAGTGTGGAAGGCAAGAGCGGGGAGGAGGATGGAAGAGGGTATGCACTGGTCCGAGGGATGGGGGGAAGGGAAGAGGGGGGAGAGGGGGGAGGGGAAGGGAGGGGGGGGAAGAGAAGGGAGGGGGGAGGGAAAGGAAGGAGGTTGGGATGGCGTGGAGCATGGGCGGCTGGAGGATAGATGAGGGAAGTGAGAGTAGAGGTGCGTGTGTAGCATGGCACCATGGCACGAGGGGGAACGGGATGGGTGTTAGAATTATATATATTGTAGCATGCTAAGCACATGTGACTGTACACCAATTGTGGTGTACAGTTGGGTTGGGACTACACCCAACATTGGGTGTAGCCTTGCACTTTGGGGTGCCAATCCACCCAATTGTGGTGGAGCCCCCAAATTGCAACCCTCTTGACTTTTTGGGTACCTCACTTCACAATTGGCCATCCCTCCGTGCCGCCTCCTCCCCTCGCCGCCGCGGCCACTTCCGCCGCCGCCGCCTCCTCCCGTCGCCGCCGCGGCCGATTCCGCCGCCGCCGCCTCCTCCCGTCGCCGCCGCGGCCGATTTCGCCGCCGCCGCCTCCTCACCTCGCCGCCGCGGCCGATTCCACCGCCGCCGCCTCCTCCCGTCGCCGCCGCGGCCGATTCCGCCGCCGCCGCCTCCTCACCTCGCCGCCGCGGCCGATTCCGCCGCCGCCGCCTCCTCCCGTCGCCACCGCGGCCGATTTCGCCGCCGCCGCCTCCTCCCCTCACCGCCGCGGCCACTTCCGCCGCCGCCGCCTCCTCCCCTCGCCGCCGCGGCCGATTCCGCCGCCGCCGCCTCCTCCCCTCGCCGCCGCGGCCGATTCCGCCGCCGCCGCCTCCTCCCCTCACCGCCGCGGCCGATTCCGCCGCCGCCGCCTCCTCCCCTCGCCGCCGCGGCCGATTCCGCCGCCGCCGCCTCCTCCCCTCGCCGCCGCGGCCGATTCCGCCGCCGCCGCCTCCCCCCATCGCCGCCGCGGCCGATTCCGCCGCCGCCGCCTCCCCCCTTCGCCGCCGCGGCTGATTCCGCCGCCGCCGCCTCCTCCCCTCTCCGCCGCGGCCGTTCCGTCGCCGCCGCCTCCTCCTCTCGCCGTCGCGGCCGTTTCGCCGCCGCCGCCTCCTCCCTTCGCCGCCGCGGCCACTTCTGCCGCCGCCGCCTCCTCCTCTCGCCCCCGCGGCCGTTTCCGCCGCCGCCGCCTCCTCCCCTCGTCGTCGCCTCTCTCACACCGTCGCCGCCTGCGCCTCCCGCCGCGGCGCTCACATCCTCCCCCTTCCCCTTCTCCCCTCCCCTCCGGCAGTAGCGGCAGCAGCAGCAGCGGCAGCAGCGGCAGCAGAGGCAGCAGCAGCAGCCTGAGCAGAGCTCCATCCTCCTGCAGCAGCACCCCCCCCCCCCCCCCCCCCCCCCCCTTCCCTCTTGGCCGCCGCGGGTCCACCCGCCGTCGCCCTCCTCCTTGACTGCCGCGGGTCCACCCGCCGTCGTCCCCCTCGAGGCCGCCGCGGGTCCACCCGCCGTCGTCCCCCTCGAGGCCGCCGCGGGTCCACCCGCCGTCGCCCCTCATGGATACCACTCCTCCCCCTCTTCCCCCTCCCATTGACGCCTCCTCCGTCGACAAGCTCCAACTTGCCGCGGACCGCTCGGCGATCAATTGGCACTCCTTCGTCGGGAGCATCCGCCGCGTTCTCCAGGACGCATTCGTCGGACCCTACTGCGTCCTCGACGTCCTCCTCCGCCGCCCGCAAGCTCTCCAGCCCACGGCACCCAGTCACCCCGGCGAACCCCCTCCACCCCCCATTCCCCCTGGCCCTCCTCCTTCTGAACCCACCTTGGAGATCGCCACTACCCCAGCGCTCCAGAGTGCCGCCGACGCCACATTCCTCCATGACCGCCGCGAGTACCTCATCCGCAAGGCAGAGCACGAGGTCGCAGTCCACCATCACGACTTCGCAGTAGCGGAACGCGCCAACCGCCTGGCCCTCCTCGATGAATACAACACGGCCATGGCAGACTACCTCCCCAAGAGTATTGCATGGGCCGCTGCTGACAACCGCGCCTGCACCATCCTCCTCGGCGCACTCCCTGATACCCTCATGCGCCGTTTCCAGGCTCGGGAGATGCGCGCCTCCCTCATCTGGGCCGAGCTCCAGGCAATGTTCGAGCGCCGCGACATCAGCTCTGTCGGCGCCCTGTTCCAGGAGTACTTCTCCATCACCCTCGCTACCTGTGACGGCGCAGTTGACTACGTGGGGCGCATGCAGGAGGTCGCTGACCGCCTTGCTGCACGCCAAGCTGCCCTCCCCGAGCCACTGCAAATCCACCGCCTCCTCTACAACCTCACCCCGGACTACGAGTCCCGCCTCCATGCCTTCACTGAAGCGAACGCCATGGCCGGCCTCAACGACGTGGTCCAATGGATCATCGACACGGAGGTCAAGCTCCGCACCCCCGTTGTCAACCTCACCACCCCTCAGCCCTCCTCCTCCAGCTCCCTCAATGCTACGCAGCCGCGCAACCAGGGTGGTCGCAGCGGTGGCGGTGGAGGCCGTGGAGCGGGTGGTGGTGGTGGAGGTCGTGGCGGTAGTGGTGGTGGTGGCGGTAGCCGTGGTGGCCGTGGTGGCGGTGGTGGTGGTGCTGGAGGACCGTCCGGTGCTAGTGGTGCTGTGACTCGAGGCGCTCGCCCTGGCACTCTCCCCCCATGCACGTATGTGCGCCGCCATGGTCCCCATGCTGGTACCCCTTGCGGCCAAACCAACCATCCCCCCAGCACGTGCTTCAAGGCGCTCGACGACGCCTGGTTTGACCGAGGTAACACTGGCACCCCTCCTCGCTGGAACACTGTCACCCCTCGCCCCTCCCTGGTGGATGTTCAAACCCTCCCATCTTTCCTTCCTGCTCACCTCCGCCTGGTTAGCCCCTCCCAGCCTTCCCAGCTGCAGCAATTCCAGCAGCACCAGCAGCAGCAGCATCAGTACTTCCAGCAGCAGCAGCAGCAGCAGCAGCAGCCGCAGTTTCTCCAGCCGCAGCAGCCGCCGCCGCCGCATTTCTTCCAACCGCCGCCGCAGCAGCAGCAGCAGTTCCTTCCCCCGTACTGGCAGCAGCAGCCACTGACCTTCGGCACGGCGGCTACGGCCGCCCATGCCTCCCTTGCTCCCCCCCCTCCCTGGGGTTCCCTCCCCTCTGCCCCCCCCAGTGTCCCCGACACTTCGGGCAGTTTCCTCGGTAATGTCAGTATTGCACCATCCGTCGCTTCCATGTATCCCTCTGCTATCAATGAAACTTCTTTCCAGTACCCCGTGTCACCTCCTCCTCCTTCTTCCCCCACCCTGGACTTCGTCCTTGATAGTGGGGCCACTGAAACCGCACTAAAGGACGCAGGTACTCTCACCCCCCTTCCACTTCCCACTCAGGTTCATGGAGCTAATTCCAGTTTTTCCATCCTTTGCACTCATCTCTCCACCCTCCCCTGCACTGCCTTCCCCTCCGGTAAAGTCACAGGCCTCCACATCCCCACTCTCCGCAACAACCTCATCTCCCACCGTGAGCTCCAAGGTGTTGGTATCACTGCCATCTACCCTGGTTATGCCAATTACTGTGACCTCTACCAGACTTCCTCTGGCCGCTTCCTCCTCCGCATCCCACTCTGCCCTCGCACTCGCCTCTACACACTCCGCACACCTCGCCCATCCTACTGCCACGTCACCACCCGTGCTGGTACTTCCACCTGTCCATCCCCCCTCCTTTACTTCCCCCCTCCCCTCCCCCTCAGGTATCCTCTCCCTCCCCGCCGTCCTCCTCCTCCCCTCCCGTCCCCTCCATCACCCCATCTCCCTCCTCCTCCACTACCCTCTAGCACCCTGCCGTTCTCTTACACCACAGACTCGGCCATCCCAACTTCACCGCCCTTCGCACCACAGTCACCTCCCGCCTCCTCCGCAGCCTTCCTCCCGTCTTACCCCCGCTTCCCTCCTCCCCCTCTCCCCCATGCCCTTCATGCATTCACGGCAAGCTCAAGCAGTCACCCCATCACAGTCATCCCACCTTCGCCGCCGCCCCCATCGACCTTGTCCACATGGACCTCTGGGGCCCCTATCCCATCCGCTCCCGCCACATGCTCGTCCTCGTTGACGACCACAGCCGGTACTCCACCACCTTCTTTCTTCATACGAAAGACCAGGTGCCGGCAGTGGTCATCAACTGGGCCGAGCTGTGCCGCAATCACTTCAAACGCCCCATTGGCCGCCTTCACTCTGACGGTGGGGGTGAGTTCATCAATAACACTCTCGCCACATACTGCAAAACCTACGGTATCCAACAGACCTCCACTCTTCCCCATTCCCCTCAGCAGAACGGCATTGCCGAGAGCCGCATTCGTGAGATCACCAAGATAGCTCGCTGTCTCATTGCTCATGCCTCCACCCCGCCTTCCCTCTGGAGCTATGCCCTTCTCCACGCCGCCCTTCTCCTTAATCTCCGCTCCCATCCTCAGCACCCTTCCTCCTCCCCCACAGAGCTTTGGTCCAACACCAAACCTGACGCTGCCGGCCTTCGAGTTTGGGGATGCAAGGCCTACGTTCTCATTCCACCCGCCGATCGCTCCCGCGCCGCTGGCAAACTTGCTCCCCGTGCCCTGGAATGTGTCTACCTTGGGCACAACCGCGACTCCCCAGGCTACCTCTTCCTCCACCCTCCTACCAATCGCCTCATCCGCAGCAGCGACGTCGTCTTCGACGAGTCCGTCCCCTATTACTCCACTCCTCCCCCTGATCCTCTCCCTCCTACTCGCCCTCTCGCCTGGACCGACACCGTCCTCCCGCCTCTCCTCCCCCCCGCTCCCCTCCTCCCACCTGTCGCCGCTCCACTCCCGCCTCCCTCCTCTGCCGACGTCTACGACCCCGCTGCACCCGCCTCCCCCGCCCACTCAGCTGCACCCCCTCCCTCCCCTCCCTCCTCCCATCACTCTCCCGCCCTTCCGCAGCAGCAGCAGCAGCAGCCGAGGCAGCAGCAGCAGCAACCGGTGCAGCAGCAGCAGCAGCAGCAGCCGGGGCAGCAGCAGCAGCAGCCGGAGCAGCAGCAGCAGCAGCAGCAGCAGCCGGAGCAGCAGCAGCAGCAGCCGGGATGGCAGCAGCAGCAGCAGCCGGAGCAGCAGCAGCAACGGCAGCAGCAACAGCAGCAGCGGCCTCAGCAGGGGCAGCAACCCCATCGCCCGCAGCGACAGCGCGCCACCTCCCGCTCCTCCCCCTTTCTCCTTCCCCGCATGCACACCCGATCTCTGGATCCCATCCTTGGGACCCCTCCTCCTCCTTCCCTGCAACTCCTTGAGGACTCTCACGAGGAGTTCCTCGCCATCCAGCAGCACACTCCGTTCATAGCCACCCTCTTTCTTGACTTCCTTGGCTTCCCCGTCCTCGGCGCCACCTCCACCCCCACCATCTTCACTCCCTCCACTTTCCAAGAGGCCATCACATGCCCTGACGCGGACAAGTAAATAGCAGCAATCTTCCAGGAGTGCGAGGCGTTTATCCGCAACGACTCCTTCGTCGACGTTCCCCTCCCTGACGGTGCCAATCTTGTCGAGGGCAAGTGGGTCTTTCGGGTGAAGCAACTGCCGGACGAGGAACCGGTCTACAAGGCCCGCTACTGCGCCAAGGGCTTTACACAGACACATGGGGAGGATTTTTGGTTCACTTACGCCCCCACCGCCAAACCCCCCACCCTTCGCGCAACCCTCGACGTTGGTGCGCGTGATAACATGGAGATCGACTGCATGGACGTCTCCAATGCGTTCCTACAGGGCGACCTGCATGAGCGCATTTTCCTCCGCCGGCCACCTGGGTTCCACGCAGCCTTCCCTGAGAACACTGTCTGGCAGCTGCGTCGCCCTGTCTACGGCTTGAAGCAGGCGCCGCGCGAGTGGCATGCAAAGCTGGCTGCCACCTTAGGGTCACTCGGCTTCTCTCCCTCCCACTCCGACGCCAGCCTCTTCATCCGCTCCTCCCCTCGCCGCTTCTTCATCCTGGTGTACGTGGATGACATGATCCTGCTCTCTGACACGAAGGCCGACATGGAGCAGATGAAGCAGTCCCTGCAGCAGCGTCTCAAGTGCAAAGATCTTGGAGCCCTCACCCACTACCTGGGCATGGCTATCACTCGTGACCGCTCTGCTCGCACCATCACCCTCTCCCAGTCCCATTACATCGGCCAGATCTTGGAGAAGTTCGACATGGCGCAGGCCAAGCCCGTCTCCACCCCCCTCCCCTTCGGCCACCAACTCGCCCCACCCACCTCTCCCACCTCCTCCCCTCACCCCTATGCCGAGCTCGTTGGGTCCCTGATGTACGCGATGATGTGCACCCGCCCCGACCTCGCCTATCCCATCAGCGTGCTCGCTCGCTTCGTCGGCACCGGCCGCCACAGTGAGGAGCACTGGAAGGCGGCCAAGCGGGTCCTCCGCTACCTTCGAGGGACCAAGGACCTTGCCCTCACCCTTGGCGGTTCTTCCCCTCCTCTCCTCTCGGGCTTCAGCGACTCCTCCTGGGCCGACACGCAGCCGGACCGCCGCTCCTCCCAGGGCTACGGCTTCACCCTTGGCAGCGGCCTCATCAGCTGGCGCTCCACCCGCTCCTCCGCCATCTCTCTCTCCACCTGCGAGGCCGAGCTCTACGCCGGCACCATGGCCGCTCAGGAGTCCCGCTGGCTCTGCTTCCTCCTTGCCGAGCTTGGCGCTCCCCAGACATGCCCCACTCTCTGGTGCGACAATGCCAGCACCATCCATCTCACTGAGGACCCTGTCTACCATGCCCGCTCCAAGCACATCGAGCTCCGCTATTTCTTCATTCGCGAGCTTGTCCAGAAGGGTCTCATTGCCGTTCGCAAAATTGCGACCGAGGCCAACCTGGCCGACATTTTTACCAAGGCCCTCCTTCGCCCTGCGCACTCCGCTTTCCTCCGCCTCATCGGCCTCGCTCGCCCGGGCGCTCCTTGATTCAGGGGTTGTTCTCTTCTTGTGTTAGCATGCTAAGGGGTTGTGTTAGAATTATATATATTGTAGCATGCTAAGCACATGTGACTGTACACCAATTGTGGTGTACAGTTGGGTTGGGACTACACCCAACATTGGGTGTAGCCTTGCACTTTGGGGTGCCAATCCACCCAATTGTGGTGGAGCCCCCAAATTGCAACCCTCTTGACTTTTTGGGTACCTCACTTCACAATTGAGGCCACCACAAGCCAAGTGGGCCTAGGGTTGCCACACTTCTTAGAAGTTGGGTACCCCACCTATGGTTACCTCACTTCCCAAAGTGAGGCCAACCCAACCATAGGTTGGGTTCCTCCTTCCCTTCCAAGCTTCTCTTCCCAAACTATGTATGCTAGGTTTGCTCTCTAAACAAATTACTTGTTCAATTCACATCTTTCACAATGGGAAGAGGAGACAGAGAGGAGAACTAGCTTGCACTGGCAGGGCTGAGGCGAGGCCAGTGGGGGGTGTGAGGGGAGGGACGGAGAGAGTTCTTTTGAGACGTCTCAAAAACACCCTCATTTCACGGGGGAGCGGGATGGAAAGAGGAGACAGAGAGGAGAACTAGCTTGCACTGGCAGGGCTGAGGCGAGGCGAGTGGGGGGCATGAGGGGAGGGACGGAGAGAGAAGGGGAGGAAGGTGGGAGGAAGGCGAGGCATGAGGGGCTGGAGGAGGAGAAGTGAGGGTTGGAGCGCTGTGGAGCGCGGCGGCGTGGCGTGGCGTGGCGTGGCGTGGCATGGCTCCACCCGGGATGGGATGTGCTCCGGTGTGTGGGGTGGGGAGTCAATTTTTGGGTCGACTCAAAAATCAACTCACTACACGCGGATGGGATGTGCTCCGGTGTGTGGGGTGGGGAGTGCAGGGCGAGGCACTGACGACAAGGGGGGAAGCGTGGAAGCCAAGAGCGGGGAGAGAGATGGAAAGAGGAGAATGAGTGGAGCAGACAAGCTCGCTTTGGCAGGGCAGAGGCGAGGTGAGCACTGAGCAGCGAGCGAGGAATGAGAAGGAAGGTAGAGGGTGGAGGAGGAGAGAGTGTTCCCTTCAGCAGTGCAAAGGAACAAAGCCGACTGCCCACTTCCCACCGCCCACCGCCCAGCCCCCCGGCCCCAGCCACCCGTCCCCCACTACCAGCCCCCCGTCCCCCACTACCAGCCACCCGCCCCCCACTACCAGCCACCCGTCCCCCACTACCAGCCACCCGCCCCCCCCTACCAGCCACCCGTCCCCCACTACCAGCCACCCGCCCCCCACTACCAGCCCCCCGTCCCCCACTACCAGCCCCCCGTCCCCCACTACCAGCCCCCCGTCCCAAAGCCCGCGCCTCGCCCCCCACCCCCCGCGTCCCCTGGCCACTGCCCCTTGCACCTGGCCGAAAGCGAAGCAGGGCAGCACGGGCACACCATGCTGCAGAGCCAGGCGAATGAAGCCCAAGCGCTGGCGGACGAACGCCACCTGAGGGGTGGTGTGGTGTGGTGTGGTGTGGTGTGGGGTGGTGTGGGGTGGTGTGGGGTGGTGTGGGGCGGGGGGAGGGTGACTTTTGAGTCGACTCAAAAGCGCCAGGCGGATGAAGCCCAAGCGCTGGCGAACGAACGCCACCTGGGGGGTGGTGTGGGGCGGGGGGAGGAGGTGGGGTTGTGGGGGCGCGGAGGACAGCACGGCGCGCGCCAACCCCCAGCTCTGGCTTTTGAGTCGACTCAAAAGTCAACGCACCTCCTTGCCGGAGGCCATGAAGAGGCACTCCTGCACGCCGCCTTTTGAGCCGACTCAAAACCCACCACCACCCCATCCCAGCGACACCCATTCAGGAGGCGCGCACCTCCTTGCCGGAGGACAGCACGGCGCGCGTGGCTTTTGAGTCGACTCACAAGTCAACGCACCTCCTTGCCGGGAGCCATGAAGACGCACTCCTGTACGCCGCCCGGCACGAGGATCACGGGGCGGCCGCGCTGCAGCGCAGCGGACAGCACGGCACGCGTGGCGGGCACGACGCGCACCCACCCCCAGCTGTGGCGCAGCAGCGGCACGCGGAAGACGGCGCTCGTGGCGCCCACCACTCCCCCCGCCGACAGCGGGTGCAGCAGAAACGCGCCCAGCCCCACCGGCAGTACCGAGTGCGGCTCCAGTGCTATCACTGCAGGAGCAGGGGGGGGGGGGGGGGGGGACGAGAGGAAGGGACAGGGGGAGTTTACTTTAGAGTCGACTCAAAAGCGGCAGTACCGAGTGCGGCTCCAGTGCTATCACTGCAGGGGAGGGGGGGGGGGGGGGAGAACGAGAGGACATTATACCGAGTTGACTTTTGAGTCGACTCAAAAGTCACCTCGTTACTATGGCACACAACATTTTTTCATCAAGCGGCAGTACCGAGTGCGGCTCCAGTGCTATCACTGCAGGGAGGGGGGGGGGGGGGGGGGGGAGAACGAGAGGAAGGGACGTGGGGAGGGGATGGGGAGGGAAATGGGGGAAGCAAAGAGGGGAGGGGAAGAGGGAAGGGAAAGGGAGGAGGGGAACGGGGGAGGAGAAGGGGGGAGGGGAAGGGGGGAGGAGAAGTGGGGAAGGAAAGTGGGGAGGGGAAAAGGGGAGGGATGGAAAAAGGGGAGGAGGCAGGGGAGTAGCAAAGGAGTGGGATGTGAGAGCGGGGCGCACTGAGCGGAGAATAAGAATCTGAAATGAATAAAATTACGCACGTGCTGGATTAAGGAGTGGGATGTGAGAGCGGGGCGCACTGAGCGGACACCCTTGGCTGGCTGCAATACTCTTTCCCTCTCCAGTTTTGAGGCGCCTCAAAACCGGACACCCTTGGCTGCAAAACTCTTTCCCTCTCCCTGCATCTCTTTTCTCCGTTCCTGCTCCAGCCTTCCACCCCCGCTTCCTTTTCTAGACCCGCATAAACATACGCCTCAACACACGCACATGCTGCAGATTGTTTTTGAGAATTTTCAAAAACAACCCCCGCTTCTTTTTCTTGACCCGCATAAACATACGCCTCAACACACGCACATGCGCGTAAGCCAGAGAGTCTGCTTTTGAGTCGACTCAAAAGCAGAACCATCCCGCTTCCTTTTCTAGACCCGAACAAACATACGCCTCAACACACGCACATGCGCGTAAGCTAGAGAGCCAAGCGCATGCCCATCCATTCCCTCCCTCCCACCACGGAGCAACCACCCACCACCCACCACCCGTGCACCCGCCAGCACGCCCCATCCCGTCTTCCGTAGGTAGGTCGCTCGCACCATAGGGCTTGTCTTTGAGAATTCTCAAAAACCAGCTCGTAGGTCACTCGCTCGCACCATAGGGCATGCCGAAGGTGAGGGGGCTGCGGCCGTGCCGTGCACGGGGGAGCAAGAGCAGGCGCACGCCTATCCACTGACCCAACCGTCAAGCAACCACCCAGCGTGCACGCCCTAACATGCCCCACCCCTAGTGCTCGCACCGTAGGGCTTGCCGAAGGTGAGGGCGCTCTGGTCGCGGAAGATCCTTTTGAGAATTCTCAAAAGTCACATACGCACCGTAGGGCTTGCCGAAGGTGAGGGCGCTCTGGTCGCGGAAGATCCTTTTGAGAATTCTCAAAAGTCACATACGCACCGTAGGGCTTGCCGAAGGTGAGGGCGCTCTGGTCGCGGAAGAGCATGCGCACGGGGAAGTGGCGCAGCACCACCGGGTAGAGCCACCTGCCGGGGGGGGGGGGGGGGGGGGAGGGGCGACGCACACACGACACGCGCGCACCACGCAGCATGGGAAACGAGCGAGATAGCGAGGAGTGCAGTTCATGCCGGCAGAAATGGGCCGGCAGAAATGGGCCGGCAGACGTGAGCGAGTGCGGATGGGAGGCGAAGCTTGGATGGCGAGGGAGCAGGTAGCGAGGGAGCAGGTAGCGAGGGAGCAGGCAGACGTAACGCGCGAGCGGCCCCTGAGCGGCATGCCTCCAAGCGAGCCTTGATCAATTTCGACCAGGCGAGCCTTGATCAATTTCGACCAAGTTAACGAGCAGTTGACGTGATCTGTTTCCGACCTTCTATCTGCCTTGGCGGGGAGAAAGAAGCTAGAAGAGGCGAAATTGAGAAATGTTTCGCAAAAGAGAAAATCGAAACACAGATCGAAACGGAGAGCGAGCGGAGGAAAGGCGGACCTGCGGTAGGCGTGGGCGAGGGGTCCCTCGACATCGACGGGCGTGAAGGCGAGCGTGGCGAGGAGCAGAAGCAGCGCGATGGCGAGGGGGTGTGGAAAGGAGAGCGCGATGAGCACGAGCAGCGCGAGCAGGATGTGCGGACACCCCAGCCACAGCAGCATCGCTAACCAGTCCGTTATTGAATGCCGCGACAGCGCCGCCGCCGCCGCCTTGCCCTCATCTCCGCTCGCTACTAGCGCTGGCGACAGCGCCGCTGCGGCGTCGCCGGCGACCCCTTTCGCCGGCGGCGACGGCGGCGACTGTTCCGCCTTACCGCCCTCGCTTCCCGCCGAGGCGGGAAGCGCTCCTTCGCTGTTAGCGTGCGGATGGTGCGCGGCGCCACTCTCGACCGGAAGTTGCGGCGCCATGGCCGACGTTCCGTGCGGGGTTGCGAGCACCACCATCACAGAATTGAAGGTCCCAAACACTGCCGAAATGGGTCCTTTTTGGGTCCAATCAACAGAGACTGCACGACTCCATCTACACTCTGCGACCGCAGAAACCTTTCCCGCCGGCCAGGCTAAACCGTCAGATCGTGCGGGGTCTTCGCACGTTGGGGGGCTCAACCCAACTACGACGTCCACATGCGTCCCCCCGCCACGTCATCATCCGGCCTTATCGTTTGCACGTGCCAAGTGCACTTTTTGGCTGTCCCAAGTTCGAAATTCGGACAGCCCAGTTCCAATGATGCGTTCTTTCGGAGTCCCCCCTCACCCTTTGTAGGCACGTATCCCTGCTTGACGCTGCAGCATCCTTTGGGCAACTTGTGACGAAAACAAAAGCGGCGCTCGCTCTCGTCGTTAGCGCGATAAAATGATGCTTTTGACAGGCGATAGCGCGAGTGTGCGAAATGTGTGTCGCCACAGCCTTGTATCCTTATTGAGTGAACGGAAAACAGAATACCGAACTTCTTTTATCAACGAGTACTCCCCCCTAATCTACTCATATGATAAAACTATTGGAAAACTTGCATCGCATAGCACTGCTCCAAACTACACCCAAAGCTTCAAATAGCTGAAGCACCTCCCTTTGACTCACTTCATCCCCGCATTCATTCATAACTGCAACCGCCAACCCCCTAAGCCTTGCAAACCATTCCCTTTTCGCATAATTTCCCAGAGGGAGAGAAGAGAACAATGGTGCTTACCTTAGCTTTCTCATCCAAAAAGTTTGAATATGGAAACGGTAGTAACGTACATCCTTCAAACTACACCCACAGCTTCAAATCCCTAAAGCACATCTCCCTATGACTCACATCATCCCCGCAATCATTCGGAACCGCAACCACCTCCTCCCTATGCTTCACAAACCATTCCCTCTCCCCCATCACCTTCCATACGGGAGGAAATAACCACCGCGACAACACGCCAACATTCGACCCCGGCTCCCCCTCCTCAACCATCCTCGTTATAGCCTCATTCAGCCCCACTTTCAAGCTCTCCGAAGCGGACAACGAGTGCGCGAGGGAGTTTCTATGCGCCGCGGCTGTCCTTTCCCGGTAATCTTCCAACGCAAGAACAGCCCATTCTTTCAGCATCAGGAGAATCGGTCGTGAGGGGCGAAGCGCGACAAACCAAGGAGAGAAATAACCCAAATCGGGGCGGGAGATTGGCAGGGTGCGTTTGAGCTTGCCGTCTATTTTGTTGCTTGCGGGCGGTGGTGGTTGGGAGGATGAGGGGGCAGAGGACGGGAGAACTGCAGTGTACTCTGGAGGGAGGAATGGGAGCGGGTCTTGCAGCCATACAGAGGAGATGTCACTGCAGTGTGTTGGGGAAAGAGGGGTATGGGGGGAAGATGGGGGGAGCAATGGGGTGGCATGAGTTGGATGTGAGGCAACGGGTGGGGATCTTGCAACCATACCGAGATGTCGCTGCAGGTGGAAGGGGGAGGGCGGTGGGGGACGAAGGGCAAGGAGGGTGTAATGGTTTCAGGAGGGCTGCGTATATTGATTTTCAATGATATCATACATGACAACATTTCAAACGGACCTGTAGATGACATTGTAGCCGAGTTTGAGCACTCGCTCCATGAGCAGCGACGGCAGCAGCAGGCATGTGAGGGCTTCCTTGGTGACTGTTGAGATGACTAAACAAAGTAATGTACTCTACTGCACCGTACTGTGCTGTACTCTAACGTACTGTACCTGTAGATGACATTGTAGCCGAGGTTGAGAACTCGCTCCATGACCAGCGAGGGCAGCAGCAGGCACGTGAGGGCTCAGAGAGCTGCTTTCTGATTGGAAAACCCACTGAGAAATGCACTGTTCTTGTATATAGAGAACTACTAAAGAATGTAACACTTGTTACTGACCTGTAGATGACGTTGTAGCCGAGCTTTAGCACTCTTTCCATGAGCAGCGACGGCAGCAGCAGGCATGTGAGGGCTGCCTTGTAGGGCGACTCACTCTCCTCTGGCTGCCTCAGCAGACCTTGGCTCGTACCCTCCACCTGTGGGGAAGGAAGACAGGGAGGGAAGAGAAGGCAGGGAGCGAGAGCAGGGGGGGCAGGGAAGGGAGGGCAGGAAGGGAGGAGGGAAGTAAGAGTAGCAGCAGGCACGTAAGGGCTGCCTTGTGGATCGAATCACTCTCCTCTGGCTGCCTCAGCAGGCCCTGGTTTGTGCCATCCACCTTTTAGGGGGGTTGAGGGAGAGGACACAGTCAGGTAAGCACACAACAGTTTACTCTCTCCACCTGTGGGGAAGGCGAGGGAAAGAGAGAGCAGCGAAAAAAGCACTCAGGAGGGCAGGTTGGGAGCGGAGAGAGGGAAGGGAAGGCGGGAAGGGGAGGGAGGAAGGGAAGGACGAGAGGGCAGGGAGGGCAGGGAGGGAAAGCAGGGAGGGCAGGGAGCAGGGAAGGCAGGGAGTGCAGGGACGAAAGGCAGGCAGGGAGGGCAGGGAGGGAGGGAAGGCACACACACCTTTACAAAGCACCTCTAGAGACTTGATGTACATGCATTCTCGTATCACAAACATAAACTCGTAGACCCTTATGTTTTTTGAGAATTCTCAAAAACCATACGCTGTATCACAAACATAAACTCGTAGGCCCGTATGGCGTACCTCTTGAGGCACCGAGGCGATCACGTGGCGAGCCATGGCAGCAGAGTGCAAGGCGTTGAACCAGTTGGTGGAGAACAAGGCGATCACATGCTCGGATCCTCACGCATGTTCCTCCTGTGGCCCCTCCTATGTCAAACCACATCCTCATGGGTTTTCCTTACGCCATACCTCTTGGGGCACTGAAGCAATCACATGGCCAACCATGGCAGCAGAGTGCATGGCATTGAACCAGAGTTGGTGAACCTATCATGCCCACCCACAATCTCCATCACAACACTGGGACCACACATTCTCCTAACAGCGCACCTCTTGAGGCACTGAGGCGATCACATGGCCAGCCATGGCAGCAGAGTGCATGGAGTTGAACCAGTTGGTGAAGCCATCACGCCCACCCACATTGCTCTAGTGGCACACATGTTCCTATCTTATGTCAAAACCACCTTCCTACAGTATAACCCCCTTGGCCCACACACTTGCCTTTCGACGCACCTCTTGGGGCACCGAGGCAATCATATGGCCAGCCATGGGAGCAGAGTGCATGGCATTGAACCAGTTGGTGAAGTGAGACTTGCCGAGCAGCATACCTCTTGAGACACACACATTCCCATGGCTCATTAGGCAACGTACCTCTTGTGGCACTGACGCGATCACATGGCCAGCCATGGCAGCAGAGTGCATGGCATTGAACCAGTTGGTGAAGAGAGGCACTTGGCCTGGTGGTGGTGGGGGGGAACAGGGAAATAGGGATGGGTATAGGGCAGAGAGACGAAGGGAACACGGATAGGGAAGATGGGAGGTGCGGCAGTGGAGCAGAGCAGAGTGCATGGCATTGAACCAGTTGGTGAAGAGAGGCACTTGGCCTGGTAGCGGTCAGGGGACAGGAGAGGGTAAGCGGATAGCGATGGCGGGTAAGGGGATAGGGATGGTAAGAGGGGAGGATGATGGGAGGTGGGGCAGTGCAGCACCACCTCCTCCTCCGATACATGCATCACAGGGCACAGCAGCCCCGCACAAAAGGGCTTTCAAGACGTGCAACTCGGGGCACACACACACACACACACACACCACCTCTTTTGAGTCGACTCAAAAGTCAACTCGGGGCACACACACACCACCTCACCTGCCCCGAGTGCTGCCACTCCCACACTTGCATGGACTCACCTTTGCATGCTGCAGAAACAATTACAAAGCGCTCGGCTGAAGCGACCATGGGAACAAGATGGTCCATCTGCTGCACGTGGCGCTGCACCCACGGCTACACGGACAGCAGCACCACCTCCTCCTCCGATACATGCATCTCAGGACACAGCAGCCCCACACAGAACGGCCCCTTGTCCCTTGCACGGACACTACTGCTGCTGCTGTCGCTGCTGAAGGTGCTGGTTTCGGTCATGCTCGGCCATTTGCTGTCCTCGTTTGAAGAGGAAGCAGGCTCTGAGGTCGACCCTGCTCCTGCTTCCCTTCATTCAGCCTTTCCCCGCCTCCTGCTGTTGCTGCCGCTGCTGCTGCTTCCCCACTTTCTCCTCCTGCTATTGCTTCCTTCCCTCCACTCTCCCCTTCTCCACCTGCTGCTTCTGCATCCGACCCAGCAATCCAGAGCCCTATTTTGTTCAGAGCATACCTCTTGGCGTCTTTTCCCATCAGCCCGCCCGCATGCACAGTCACCAGCTCCCCCTTCAAAGCCTCCACCGTCGCCCAATCATCCTCCAGCAGCAGCTGCCCGGACAGAAATTTCTGCGCGGGCAGCACGTACTTATCCATTTCAACAATCAGCGCGTTCAAATGCTCCTGCTCTGTCCCTTCATCCCTCCCCAACTTCATCACCCTATTCGCCCAGTCCCCCACCAAACACTTCGCCCCGGACGTCGGGCGGAGAAAAAGTAGCGAGCTCGAAACGGAAAGCTTACACTCAGCTAGCTTCGCGACGCCGTAACTCTCCACCTGAACCGCTTTCTTCTGCCAATTCGACTCGTAACCATCGAGAGTGAGCGCCATGTCAAATGTCTGTTTCGGATCGGCGGTTATTTCCGGGAGAGGGTTGCGGAGAATGGCAACGTCAGTGTCGGAATAGAGGAGGTTGAATCCGAAGGAGAGGAGGTGGAGCAGGTAGAGGATGCGGCGGGAGGCGAGGAGGTGGAAGGAGAGAGTGCCTGCGCGTGTGGCGGAGTGTGGGGAGTGTGGGGAGTGTGGGAAGAGTGCTTCGGAGGAGGCTTGCCAGGTGGCGGAGAGTGATTGGTCGGGAAGGGCCAGGCGGATTGTCTGGGAGGGACAATTAGAGGGGTAGTGGAATCGGCAGTGGATCAGGTAAGAGGAGGATAGTGGGATTGTAAGAGGGGGAATAAAAAGCCTTTATGTCAAGGGCTTTCATGCCTTTGAGGCGCCTCAGAAGTTGTAAAAGGCCCTCTGTCAAGGGCTTACATGCCTATACCCGCCCCTTGCAATGCAACCAATCCTGCCTCACCTGTCCGGGCCATCTGGTCTGGCCGAACCTAAGTGTCTCCTCATCCTCGGCAAAGAGAATAAAATTCGCTCCCAGCCCCGCATTGCTGACGTGGCGCACCCAGTTCTCCAGCATGTCAGTGTAGCCTGGGACAGACGCAGGGTGGAAATGGGGTATAATGAGATGCAGTGCGGTGGAGAGGTGAAGTTGACTGCAGAGAGCGTACATAAGCTGTACAACGTAACGTCGCCCTAGGCTTGCGTTTAGTCACCCAGTCTCGTTAGCAAGCACAGGCGGCCATGGAGAACAAAGCGAAGCTCAAACGGCGAAAGACCGCGCCGAGGCGAGGCTATCGGCTGGAGACGTCGCAGGAGCCTGAAAAGTCTGGAACACGGCTCATTCCCTGTTTGCGACGCTCGACGGAATTTCTCATATGGAGGTCGTTCTCGACGTTCACGAAGCTGTTGCAAAGCCGTCATTTGGTGTCGGTCACGACGAGGTGGAGTGGTACCGCTTTTGAGGTGTTTCCCTATTTCCATTTTGTTTTTGATAGACCACGACAAGCACAGTCCTGTTGACAGCAACGCGCGCCACCATGTCCCACAGCGGCATCAGGTCATTAAGTGAAGCTGCATGCCTGACCCCAAGCCCTGATCCCAAGCCCTGACCCCAACCCTTCACTCCCTGATCGAGAATGCCAAGTCACTTCACTCCCTTCCCTTACCGGCATTAGAAACCACGACAAGCACGGTGTCGTTAACAACGCGAGCGACCATGTCCCACTGCAGATTGGGTTACAGACACCAAATACCGGCTTCGCAGCAGCTTCATGAACGTCGAGAACGGCCTCAATCTGAAAAAGGCCGTCGAGCGTCGCAAACAGGAAATGAGCCGTCTTCTAGAGTTTCCGGGCTGCTGCGACGTCTTCAGCCGATAGCCTCGCCTCGGCGCGGTCTTTCGCTGTTTAAGCTTCGTTTTTGTTCTCCATAGCTGCCTTTGCTTGCTAGCGAGACTGTGTGACTGAGTGCAAGCCTAGGGTGATGTCAGATTGAACAACTTTTGTACGCTCTCTGCAATCAACGACGTTGAATGTTGCTGCTCAACTACACTAAACTGAGGTCAGCCGCAACACATGAAAAATTCACCACATTTTCAAATCCTTACAAGCATTAATGACCACAACAAGGACACTTCCGTTGACAGCAACGCGGACCGCCGCCATGCCCCACAGCCGACTGGCCTACAGGGGGGCTAAACTAATTGAACACCCGCAACACATAAAGATTGACCAAATTCTCAAATCCTTACCCGCATTAGAAACCACGGCAAGGATGGTCCTGTTGACAGCAACGCGCACCACCATATGCCACAGCGGCACCAGGTCCTTCAGTGAAGCTGCATGCCTGACCCGAGCTCCTCAGTTACGAGTCTTGGGAGGTATGGAAATATTGAGATTCTCGGGATAGAGACTTGGAAACACGCTGACTTACACCTTCACTCCTTACTAGCGTTGAAGACCACGACAAGCACAGTCCCGTTTACAGCAACGCACGCCGCCATGTCCCACAGCGGCATCAGGTCCTCGTGAAGGTGAATGCCCGACCCCTACCCCTGATCCCAGCCCTCAGGAATGCCGGGTCATTTCACTCCCTTCCCTTACCGGCATTAGTAACCACGACAAGCACGGTCCCGTTGACAGGAACGCGGACAGCCATGTCCCACAGTGGAATCAGATCCTCGTGAAGCTGCATGCCTGATCCGAACATCTCAGTCAGAAGCCTTTGGGAGTACTGGAAACAACGTGACATCATTCCATCTCCACTCACTTACCGGCATCAGGTCCTCGTGAAGCTGTATGCCTGATCCGAACGCCCCAATGACCCAGTCAGAAACCTTGGGAGGTTTGAGAAATCTTTACTTTCTAACCCCTTACCGGCGTTGGAGACCACAACAAGCACAGTCCCGTTGACAGCAATGCGGGCAGCCATGTCCCATAGTGGCATCAGGTCCTCGTGAAGCTGCATGCCCGACCCGAACGCCTCGGGCGATTCCCGCGGCAGCAGCACGCGCCGACGACGAGAAGCCTGGTCAGCTGTTGCCGTTCCACCAGCTGTTGCCGTTCCACCAGCTGTTGCCTTATTGTCAGAAGAACGCGGCTTCAAACCTTCAGCGTCCCCGTGAAGCTGCACGCTGCCTGATCTCAACGCCTCGGACGACTGTGGCCGCAGCACGCGGCGACGAGATTGTTCAGCTGTCCTACGGATGGAAGCCACGTGGCTCCGCGCTGACGTCAGGTCGACGTCACGCGAGGCTGACGGCCCGCGGATCGCGTGAGCCGCGGCGAAGGCAGCGGCGGCGGGGCAGGACGGAACGGTGGGTCGCGTTGAGAAGATTGACGTTGGGAATAGTAGCATTGACGCGGGGAATGGCGGCGGCGGCGTCAGTAGGAGGAGGAGGGGCAGGAGGAGGGGCAAGAGGAGGGTGTTCCGGAAGCAGCGGGGAAGAATGCGCGATCGGGCATTACGGGGTAAAGAGGCCGCCATGGCTTGTGGAGAATAATCTATCATGAAAGAAACGGGATCGGATTATGAGAAGCCTCAAAGAACGAAAGGGGGTCGGATCATGAGATGTTTGGGAGAGAGGCTTGGCCGAGAGCCGCGAAGCGAGCACTAATTCGTCGACGTGGTAACCAGAACGGCGCGATTGGAGGGGAACGTCGCGAAGCTGGCGGAACGTCGCCGGTACTATCAAGTCGACAACTCGTCCGTCAAACGCGGAACGCCATTTGACACTGAAACCGTCGCCGAACGTCGTCAGCCAGGTCTCAGACTGAAACCGTCTGAAAGTCTAACCCGAACGAACAGTTCACAAAAAAACGTCAATGACGCCCATAATCCAAATCATTCGAGCACAAAAGAAAGGCGACCAAGGTTGCTCACTCGCAGATTGAGGTCGTCATTTCAGCCTGACTGGAAACTGTACGTCGCTTGATCGGGAGGAACCTAGAAATCATACCATGGATGCCTTAGAGTATGGTTAATTGGGTTCGAGGAGGACTTCCAAACGGTGCTTTGATTTGATCATTGAGGGCGTTAATTTTTAAGGGTGAGTCATAGTCAGTTCAGTTTCCGTTTGGTACCAAACGGTTCAGTACATCTCTGTGCAATCTGATACGGTTTGTTTGCTTCACCCCTTCCACCCATTCTAATCAACATCGGTAGAGAAAGTATGTGTGGAGCTGGTTTCAGGGTTGACGTTACCGTTCTCAAATGCACAGAAACGTTCTCAAATGCACAAAACCGTTTTTGGCAACAGCGGAAACACACGATACCGTGTGAATTGAAGAAGGCCGACTGTCACCTTGTCTGACCAGCAAGGGGCACCCTACAGCACACATCCCGTTCAGGAAGACAGACGAAACCCACAAATCGGACGATGAAGTCACAACTGTAACAAAACAGGATGACCACTAACAAGAACCTCATATTAGTAGATAGTGTTTTTGCATGGTCACAAAGAAAAGTTCATGCTAAGTACAAAGTTCTGTCGCAGAAGCTTTGCTTGCTGAAGTGAATGCAGTACGAAGAATCAAATGCTTCCTACTGAAGTGCAACTATGTTGGGAGCCATGGCTAGGGTTTTGGAGTTAGGAGCTAGGAAATTGGCGAGAGAAAGGAGATGGCCAAAGAGGGGTTGCACTAGAAAGAGTGGTACAAGATATAGGCAAGGCAAAGGGTACACCACCAGCAGTTGATATAACTAACCTAATACACTAGTAAGCTGTAGGCAGGTATAAGATATGCAATATAAATTAACACACCCCCGTAACTGCCTACGGCTATAGCTAGTGGTGTCTGGTAGAAGGTCGCATGAAGAACAGTTGCTGTAGCTGGGATACGCACAGAAACAGCGGTGGCTGATCGGCAGCACCTCTGACTGCCAGAACGGAGAGAGGAGAGCTGTCAAAATGAAGAATTGATGATGCATTGATGTTGGTTGGGGTACATATAGCTAACCCTAAGTTTTGTACCCCCTAAGACAAACCTCACTATAGGCTACAACATTTGACACACCCCCATAGCCTAAGTGAGGGGTGTCTAGCAGAACCAAACGAGTACGGTCACAAGACCAGTCCAAGAAACGAAGCTCAGGGTGGATCACAACGTCACCACACAGTCTGAGCACAAACAACAGTGGCCACAAGGCCAGTCCAAGAAGTAACAGAGGTATATAGAAAGCAAAGTAAACAGTACACTCAAGTCTAAGCAACACGAGAACCAGTGTCAACAAGGCCTAACTGCACACAGCACCTCTGGTGGTCACAAGGCGGAAGCGCCTTGGTGAAGATGTCTGCAGTGTTGGCCTCGGACTCCACAAACTCAAAGCGAGCCTGTCCACGCCTCTGCAACTCTCGCAGAAGAAAGTACCTGACGTGAATGTGCTTCACTCTGCTCTCCAGTCGCGGCTCTCGACAAAGGAGAATAGACGCCTTGTTGTCAGTGAACAAGGTCGGTGCAGAGCTCGGCCGCTCACCAAGGTCGGTGAGCAAGAAGGTCAACCAACGCAGCTCCTGTGCCGCCATGGCACCAGCGTAGATCTCAGCCTCAGCTGTAGAGGTCGAGACCGAAGAGGAGCGCGTGGACCGCCAGGAAACAGCTCCAGAACCCAGGCTGAAACAGTACCCCTGAGTAGACCTGTGAGTCTCAGCGTCGTCAGCGTAAGAGGAGTCACAGTGACCAGTAAGTACGACAGACTGCTGCCCTCCAAGAACTAGCCCCACGCCTGACGTCGTCGCTAGGTACTTCGCCACCCTCACAGCTGCTGTCCAGTGAACAGGACGGTGTCTCCCTGGCGCAACAAAGCGCGCAAGAACGCTGAGAGGGAAGGCGAGGTCCGGGCGAGTACAAGTCATCAGGTACATGAGGCAACCCACAAGCTCTGCGTAGGGACCACTAGGCTCGAACGGCTCGTCAGGAAAGGGTCCAGTGAGTCTGTGGTCAACAGCAAGAGGTGTGCGCTGTACTGTGGAGTGCTGAAGCCCGAACCGCTGAAGGACCTGCTGCACCATGTGCGACTGTGAAAGTGTAATGGTGCGAGCAGCTCTGTCCCTGGTGATCTGCAGGCCAAGGTAGTGGC